CATAATTTTTTGCAATGTTAGTTCCTTTTCTTCTTCATATTGTGCCATTTTTCCAAGTTATAAACACTGCCTATAAGACATCCAAGGCTTTTGCTAGATTTCAAACAAATTCAGTGAAGTTTTTCCCACTAACCCTTTCAGTAAACAAAGCCGATAGCTTTGTAATATCAGATGTTGCCAAGCCTCTAGCCACTAGATGGCAGTGTTACATCTTTTCCCTCTGTTATTGCCTCTCTTTTGTAAGCTCCGAACTCCGAAGAGAGTTTTTCTCCGGAAAGAGAAAAAAAAACATCTAAAGATTACGATCCGGCTGAGCCTTGCGAGGAAAGAGGCTTTTAATCCACAACCACAAAAAATGAGAAAAGTATAGAGGAAGAAGGGGAAAAAAAAGACCAGTCCAGTTTAAAAGTAAGAGGCATTTGTAAAAACTCCATCCATAGAAAACAAACAAAATTAAAGTGGAAAAGATAACACGATAGTATTAAACCAGGGTAAATTCGCTGCTTATTTCCTTCTGTCTTCAATTTTATTTTAACTCTTGAGTCTTTTGGGTTTTCTTCTCTAATAATAAAGATTTTTCTCACCATTTCAGCACACTGTCTCTCCTGTACTGCTTCCGTTTCAGGGGCTTGTCTCCATCTTCTGCAGCCATATTGGCTGCTTCTCTTGTAGCCAGCAAAAAGAGCTTTTTCCTGGATCAATCATGGGCTTTGCGATGCTCCTGAGATCAGCAGGACATGCCCTTCACTATCACCGTTTCTTCAGAACGGTTTAGATCCCAAAAGCAACAGAGATATCGACAGCAATCCTGGAGCCCCAAGATTGCATGTCATGTCGTAGCGACGTCAAGACATGCCCTCCTCTCTCTTTATAATTCTTTATCACTTTTTCCATAACTACATTTAAGCATCAATAACATTTCTTCATGCAATGTGTTTGTTGTCCCCTGCTGAATCACTAATATTTTAATATTTTAAAAATTACTCAATATTCCACCATTTCAATATCTCAATTTTCTAGAAACACCAATAAGGCCAATTATTAATGTTTTACTCAGTCCCAGGATTATATCTCTAAGTCCCCTGAATTTATACTCCTTGAAAGCTGTAAGTTTCAATACATTTCAATACTGTTAATAATAATACAATTAAGTATACATAATCATTGTCATGATTCTAACCTTAATATGCTTATGGTTATAATAAATTCTATTATATGTCAATATGTGTACTACTATTTTCCCAATTTGTACTTTCTACTTTTTTCTATTAGTTTTTAATACAGTCACCATATTACAAGATATTTTATTTCTATCCATCATCTCTTAGCCTTTTTAAAATTTCATCATTTATTGACTTTTTGATAACTCTTTTATATTTCTCTCTTGGAATCTTATATCTCTAACATTTTTATACAAACTGAATCAGGGGTGGGTTCCTCCCGGAATTGCTGCCTGAAAGTATTCATAAATACTTTCAAGCATCACTAACATTTCTTCATACACCTTTATTGTCTCTTCTTGAGTCATTTTGTAATAGTTTAATATATTAAAAATTACTCACTATATCACTAGGATTCCAGTGTCCCAATATCTAAAAACTCCAAAGCCGCCAATTAATAAAATTTAGTTAGTCCCAGAATTATACCTCCAAGTCCCCTAAATTTAGTCCTTAAAAGCTATAAATTGATAATTTAAAGTCTTTATAATTTTCCAGTTGACACCTTACCAATTGTCCAAATTTTAAAGTCTTATCTTTTCTTTTTTCTTTTTTTTCTTCTATCATCTTTCTTCTTTTGCCTTGTAGGATGTTCTATCAAGAAGCATTAGTAACCCAAATCCAAATTGGCCCACCAAATTTCCTCAAATCTTCCAAATCCACCTTCCAGTTAACAGTTTCAATAGAGTTTTAGTTACTTGCAATTCAGTTTATCTTAAAGATCTTCAAGAAGCTCACTAGATATTTTCAAACATCGCAAACAATTTGCCTACTGAAATAGAATCAAGGTCAAGTGGCCTTCCAGGTGTTATTTACTTTCCCTCCTTTCCTTTGTTTATATTAAACAATTATCACTTGAGTTTCCCACACTGCAGTAATCTTCTTCCTCCAGTAGATGGCTCCCCTGCTCTAAATTCCAACACTAAACAGCGGGCAAAAGTCAAACAGCTGTTTGTCAACAGATTGGGGGGGGGGGGAGTTTAATAATAAAAATAAGAAAAGCAGTTTCTCCAAATAGTCACTTTTCAAGATGTTAGTAAATCTTTTCCAGGCTTTCTATGTTTTAAAGCTTCCATTAGAGTCTTTAATCTTTAATCTTTAAACTGAGTTATCTCACCCAGTTTCAATGCTCTGTCCATGAACTGCTCCAGCACAAATCTTATTGTCCCAGTTGTCACAGCTTGTGACTTGCCAAAAATCCCTGCTGCAGTTCGGGAGAGCTTTCTTTGGATCAATGAGGAAATTGCAGTTTCCTTGTGATCGACGAAGCACCTCTCCTTTCTTCACCACCCCTTCAGGGTGACTTTGACCCTGTAAGGTCTCCCGGCAAGCAGATACTGGCTGGTTTTCATGGAGCTTGGTGGAGCTCCACTATTTACCAGCCGTTGCCGCTGTGACACCAACTGGTCTCTCTGGGTAAGCTGTTTTAAAGTATTTCATCATATGAAATTCATTAAAAGAAAGCATGTATAGCTACAACTGTATAAACCATATTAACATTACATGTAATAATAATAAAGACAAAACAAAGAAAAATGGTGTATCTAAATACCTCTAATAGCAATAACAAATTATAAATTTAAATCTTGACAATAATCCAGATTTGTTTTTGTTTTTCAAATTCTGCTTCTGTTCATTTTGCATAATGCTTCTGATTTACATTACATGGGCCTTTTGAAAAGCGTTTCCTTCCTTCCTTTTAATCAGACAAAATAGGTCTCCTGAAGTTTTTCTACCACAACAATGCTCATTTTAATAGGAGCTGATCATTCTAACAGTGTACATGTATACATTTGCAGGCACAAAATACTGTCTATGCTCAACAAAAAATATCATACATACATACAACTTTTAGGTTCTTGCTCACAATGGGCAGAATTTGAAAAAAATACAGAAATATTTAATAATTAGATTCTAATCACTGATCTTGAAAAACCAAGTTTTCAGATTGTCATGGAGAAAAACTATCTATGTGGTCACTAAATGTCAACACCAACTTGATGGCATGTAATCAATCAATCAATTACTGATCTGGGTTCAGCTAAATTTAAGGCAATGGTAAACATGTACTGTCTTCTAAGCTTGAAAATCTTAACAAGTGACTTGGTCTCCCCACCCACTATCACAAACCTTATGATTTCTACTCCAGCTATGACTGCCAGCCACAGGAGACATTGCCACTCATATTAGAAGATGAATGTGAAGCTGCTTGGAAGGACAGAGCCTTCTGACCAACTCAGCATAGATTCTAACAGGTGATTCCATACTAAGCTAGTCCAGTCAGTAGCACTAATTCAGTTGCCATAAACCTCATTCCAAGAGGCATTCTTCTCTAAAGTAGTAAGGTAGCCACAATTAAGCATTGGAAAAAGAGGTAGAAGAGCCAAAATAGCTTCTCTGCTGCTGGAGATGATTATTCAAGATGGGGTCATGGCCT